TTTTATTATAAGTAATGATTGCACCACCATCTCATCTACCATACGAGATCTATGGATAACTTTTCAGCTAAATAAACTAAGACCAATCTCCACGTTGGGCATACACATAAGTCCTCTTCTAACAGATTACTTTCTTACTCAAACTTCCTACGTAATTGGGATACTCCAACAAAGAGGAATGCACAATTGCCAACCTGCCTTGAGCCCTCTTCCTTCCAAGATTAAATTTGATCCCTCCCTTCAACAATAGTTTACAAATTTGATAGAATATAGACAAATAGCTAGATCTTTATAATTTCTAAAAATTATAAGACATAATATCACTCAATATATGCATAAACTACTTCTCTACCATTATCGGCTCATCATACATCTTCTCAAGTACTTGAAGGAAAGATTATCTCATGGTCTACCCATAACCATAAGCATTTTAACATTATAGCCCTACTCAAATTCTGATTGGGCCAATGGCACTCAAGAATGTTGTTCAACTTCAAGCTACTACACTTTCTTTCATGACACCTTAATCTTCTGTCACATGCAAAAATAAAAATGGGTGGCAAGATCATCAATGAAAGTATAATCTAGTGCTTTGGCAACTGCAACCACATACCTCATTTGGCACGAAAGACGACTCCATGAATTCAATATCTCTATTGAAACACCAAAAAACAATACACTATGACAGCACTTCTTCCATTAAACTTCTAGTAAATCCCATTTTTCATGTTTGAACAAAACATATAGAGCTAGATTATCAACATATACATGACCACATCTCTTCAAACGAAATCACCATACAATATACTACTTCCTAAGATCATGTGGCATATAACTTCACCAAATCTCTAACACTAGTTCAATTTATGAAGCCTGATAACTAGCTCACGATCAATATATACCTTCTCTTCTGAAATATGAATTCAAACAATCCACACATACCACCTAATTTCTATGTTTTTATATATATAACACCTAAAGTGTACCTTTTACCAAAATATTTCATATCGCATCCAGAATAGCATCATTTTTAATTTTTCAAATTTAAAGTACACTTTTTCATGTAATAGGTAAGATGGCATGTAAAAATCAAAGTTTAGGTGTTATATATGCAAATGCATAGGAATTTAGTATGCATGTAAATATTTTAAGCTACAAGAAATAACATTTTTATGTAAGCGCATATTGTACATTTATCAATTCAAATAATTCAATATACTGACAATTAATATTTTTAAATTATATATGTGTAAACTAGTAAAACAAAGCAATTTTAAAAGTAAAGATTTAGTTCAAGTAAAATATATTAAAGATGTAAATCAAAATATATTTTTCTTATACGAGATTATTTAACATATGCGGGTGTAATAATTTAATAAATTTCTCAATGATGATTGTGAGAATATGAT